GTGGCACCAGGACCCTAGACCCCACTTTCCCCTACATCCATCCAACATTGTTCAAAAATCCCTCTCGAGTAGGTATTTCAGGATATACATATTCTTGCTGCGACTGAAATAAATCATCAACTGCAAATATTCCATATGATGCCCAACGAATTAAGTTTTGGAGGTAAAAATTACAGTATAGCAGAGACACCGCGACAGTAGCGCTCCCACATGGAGCGAAATCTCCGTTGCCCTCCCAAGTCCCAAAGTTTTATGGTCACATTTCCTTTTGTGACTTTACGCATATTAAATCCCACCTGTTATGGAGATACTGTTAAGAATAATTATTGCAAAAGATCAGGCAGTTCCATCCATAAAAAAGTCAACTCAGTGCATGTTTGTTACATAGAATTAGATAGGACTGCAGTGTATAATGAACAAGATTTTAACTTCTTTTTTTCAATAATATGCAGTGTTATCTAATCCTCCCTACCAAACACGTCATAAGATACCTACAGTTGGAATCATGTCTTCACTATAGCCTCCCGTCTGATAAAAACACAATATCAATCAGTACCATGAAATCAGATATCACACCCACGCACACAGACCAATGTGAAAAGGTTTGATGTTCACTAACTGCAATGGCATTAACAAGTGAAGTCTTTCCTGCATTTTGAAGACCGACGAGGGAAAGTTCCATTTCCTGTTTGAAGAATAAGCTGACAGGGGAACACAATAAGAGACAGAAAAAAGAAATGTATACATCAAGAGTGTTATATTTTATTATAATATGCATAATAAACACACAAATAAATGAAGACCAACATCCTTTGACTTGCACTGATTTCTTTTACCAGATAAAAGGACCACATTAGTTTAAAAGCAAATGCTTCAGCACATCCCCAAGACTTGGATACCATTTGAGGTGCTTAGTTGCTCAAGACAAATGAGCATACACAGTTATTTAAGAGAAGATCTACACAGAGGATTGGAAGTTATCTCCTCTCCTACTCTTACTGTTTATACCTCAAATATTACCCAGAAACACAAGTATGAGCAAAACATCCTCGGTGCTCAATAATTCACCATCTAACAAGGTGAACGTCCCTCCAAGACAAGATTTCTTTTTATCTTAATACTATCCCAGGTCTAATCTAAAATACCAAAAATGTGATAAAAGTACAAAACTTTCAGCTGAATAGCTATTTTTCAATCCACTTTTAATTATTGCACAACCAATTTAATCAATTCTCAATACCAATTCCCTCTTAGTAACCTTCTTTTCCTCCCTAGACTTCTCTTCCAGCTTATCAGAAATTCAAACGACTCGTAATATGCAATACAAACTATTACACCATAACATCAGTAAACATAACAACATGTTTAAAATTGAAAAAGGAACCAACACAAATTTGTAGAAGAAACCTCATAATAAATAAATAATACTAATGAAAAAAAAAAGAAAGAAAGAAAGAAAGAAAGAAAAATAACCTCCGGAGCCAGTTGAGAAAGGAATCCCACAGACCCATGTCCCAAATAAGAGAGATTTTTTGGTGGAAAAATCAATTAAAATGAAAGTTTTAAGAAAGACCGTTCAGGCTTTCGCAGGTTCCTGAATGATCAGGCGGCAGAAAGAGACAAAGAAGTTGAAGGGGAAATGAAAACTTTGCCGACTGAAATGAGAATTTCATTTGTGTTTCTTGATACTGTTAGATAGAGTTTTGGTAAATTCCAGACGTCACAAGTAAAGGAATTAGATTTTCTTTTCGTTTTTCTAGTCTCTTTGATTTCTATTCCTTAGCGTAGAATTCATGCCAGAGGTACCAATAGAGTGAATTTAGCATATTTCCAGGAACAATGGTGATAGGTCTTCAATCTTTGGACAATGCTATTAGTATCGAAAGTTTTCGCAAAATTGTTTGACCCAGTTTCATTGAAAGATGGATAAATAAAAAAATAAAAAAGGAAAAGAGGTGGGGGAGCTGTCAACACAGCATCTATAAAATGTAAAAACCTCTCAACCATTCCCTTTACATCAGGAATTATTCTAGAACCAAGTTACAGGGTACAGAAAGAAAACCCACAATGTTTTACAAACTATTCAAAGTGGTTGGATCGACATTTTTTTGGCCATTTTTTAATACATTGGGGGCCCATATGGGCCCGGCCTCCATGAGACTCATCTGTAGGACCCTTATGAATTTCTCTTCTGTACACCCAATTTAATTCATGGGAAGGGTTCATAAATCAGGTGTTAACTACGCCCAATTCAAAATCTAGGTTACAAGTTTCTTTAGTGCAAAAATCAGGTTTTAGTTAATTAATTAAAAATATTTATTAAATAATGATAATAAAGCCACAGTTATACCATTCATGGTCACATATTCACAATTATAGGTCACAGATTTTATTTATCGGTCACATATCATCAAATTAATTGGTTACAGATTTTTTCGATATCACAAATCACAATTTTGATAAGTCACAGATTATGTCGAGGTCATAGATGAAAAAATTATAGGTCACAAATCCAAAAAATTATAGTACCAGGTCACATATTTTCAAATTTGATAGTCACATATTACTTTTTTTAGTCACAGATGATCGAGTTTTAAGGTCACAGGTCAAATAGCCGATCACCACCAACTCCACTGCCACCATCGTCACTTGCAACCACCATCACCTCGTCACCGTCGCCACCGCCAACACCAACACCAACTCCAACATCAACAAAATCGACGTAACCAGATCCACCGCCATCACCAAACACATAAAAAAAAGACCACCATCGCCGTCTGAACCACACCATCGCCACCTCCAAATCCACCACCAACACTGTCGCCACCAAAAATACGAACATCACCACACTGTACCACACCACAACACCCACATAGCACCAACAAAATCGGCTTCCACAAACATAGAACTCACATCACATGCCACCAACTTCAACCGGCTTCCATTCACACCGTACCAACAAATCGACTTTTACACACTTCTGCGCATCGAGCCACTGTTGCATCGCCATCGACTAGCTAGTCGCACAGCGCAACCACGATGACGCCGCTGTGAGTGCAGACTCCGCGGCGCTCAGATCGATGAGTGACGACTTCGATCGGCCAAAATTGCTCACAACACTGTCTGCGAGGGCGCCACACCACAGCAACTATGCCGTCGCTCGACTCTCACGTCTCCGGCGGTGGTGCTCTTCAACGATGATGAAGGTTTGAGGATGAAGAGGGTAGAGAGGGAGAGACGGAGACGGTGGAGAGAGAGACAGAGGGAGGCAAGAAGTTAAAAATCTGAGGATATGGAAAAATGATTAGGGTTTGTTTGGATTAGATAGTGTGGGTATAAATAATACCTGATTTCTGATTAAAAAACATTTGCACTTGATTTTTGCACTCACATTTTTAAATACCAGGAATCCTGTAATTTCCTCTTAATTCATTATCCTAAATCTTTAAGCTATAACAAATACTTCCAAAATTTTAAAAAATATGTTGTAGAAGGACCTCTGAAAAGTTTGACCAAAAGTCAAGAGTTTGACCATAAATTCACTAATTTTAAAAATTGTAAAATGATCTTTTAAGCTTTAATTAATTAAAACAAGGAAATTGTTCGATGAAATCACTAATTTATTTTAACCATCAAGGAAAGAACATCGAGGTTCATCTTCATATTTGACAAGATTCACTAAGCCAATAAATTCATTTTGCGTGCTGTCGTTATATGCCCTTCTATATATTTCAAATTTACAAGCCTCCTAATTATTGTTGCTTTAGTTGTACGAAACCTGGTTGTCCGAACATGGTTGACAACCATGTTTTGGAGCCATTGATATAAAAAACAGATTTTAACAATTTTTTAAATGAATAAATATGACGTTTTCAACAAAAATTGTACATCTAACATAATTTTATTCTTGTACATGCTCTCTAACCTTTTCTAATCGCCGTCGGCTTTCTTCGGCAATATGATGAAAAATACAGTGTTCGACTCAATGTATGATCATACATCTGCTTTCATCTTCAATGTTTTTCATTAATCATCTGACCATTTTTCCGACCTTAGTGTACCCTTAATTAGCTGAAATAAATTGTTGTAGGATAACAAATCTTGCATCTTCTGTATCCAAATTGAGTAATTTGATTAACTCAATTTTATCATCCAAAACTAATTTTCTTCCATTTGATTACACAAGAAACAATAATCTTTGAGACAGCCGGAAACCAGTCTCTAATACTACTTGTCGAAAAATATTCTTAAAGTATTCTTAAAAAACATTTTACAAATACCAGATTTTTCAACTTTCAAAAATAACAACAGGTCTGGCCTAATTTCATCCAGTTGATTTGGGGTTGAACATTGGCTAAAGTTATCATCATAATTGAGGTAAATGGATATAAAGTAGTAATATCACAAGTGACATTTTGATTTTGGTATAACGATGTGAGGGAGTGAAAATAAATAAATAAAAACAATATCTACGAGTTTTTTGATTTTTTGATTTTTATTTTTGCTTTATTTATTTATTTATTTTTTTTAAGGGAGATGAAGACAAATTTAAGCATTCGACATTATCCTTTCATGGGTCAGCTTACCAGGACCTGTACGTGATCTCCTCTCAAAGTCGTGTTAGCATTTCTGTTGTACCTCAACAATTTCTAATGTGTTGTTCATGGTTCTCAAAGGTTGAACCCCAATCTTGAGGGCTCCCACCGCCTCGTTCCTGGAGTATCGTGAGAGAGGTAAATTACGGAACGTGCACCAGCAAATTAGGGAACCAGAGTTTATTGAGGGGCCGTATCTATGTTTCATAGGGTTTGAGGTGAATTTTAGAATTCAAGCTCCTAAATCGTAGTAAGTAATTATATTTTTTTTAATTTATAAAAGTTTTACGGAAGTAAATTTGTTAACTTAAAATCAACAATAAAACAATAAATAAAATAAAATATTCAAAATTTTATATTGCAATCAAATAATAATGCGAAAATGTTCTAAACAATCACTTAAATACAACTTGTCTTGCAATTTTAAAGGCAAAAATATCAATCAATTTTGGATAGTCAAATTGTTCTAATATTTCATTTTTAATGGATAATATGGTCAATTCATTCAATCATTGTTGTAATATAGTTGATTGAAGATAAGTTTTGATTAATTTTAGTTTAGAAAAACTTTTTTCTGTTGATGCAACTATAATTGGTATGGCTAACAAAATCTTGTAAGTAATACAAGCATTTAAAAAACAATCATTCATTTTTATTTTTTTCATGTAATATTGCACATTAGTTGCTCATTTTGTTTTTCTAGATAAATGGTACTTCAAGATTGTTAACTTCGAACATAAGTCGTCACCAATAATGTCTGAATGTCCATTATATTTCGAATATTGCTCAAAATTCTCACAAAAACGCAACGAACTGTCAACATGTGCACTCTTTAACCTCTCCAAATTAAATAAAAAATTAAATGTCTCTTCATAATGCTTAAATTGTTCAAAAAGATTTTGAAGTGAAAATCAAGTTTGATCAATTATCCGGAGAAAATAATCAACTCTAAAAGATTCTTCAGCTAATTATGTTACCTTTTTACTGTCACTTTCATTGAACTGTTTCTTTTTTCAAAGACAGCATTTCACAGATCATTAATCCCTCATAAATCAAAGACAAATTCATGAATCATAAGTCAATAAGATAATAAAATAATAATCAATTGCATATACAAATTACAATTAAAAATTTATACATACACATTTACAGTCGGTCAGAGAATCAGAGATAGAGAGATAGTACACAGATTCATAGAATACTAGAATTATATGCAATCAAAGAAAAGAGATTATTGTAACTTCA